TGTGTGTGTGTGTGTGTGGGGGAGGGGAGAGGGGGGTTCTGAAGGCATTAAGAAAGACTTCCAGAAACTCTGCCTTTCATGACTGGTCTTTCAACCAAGTCGTTTGTAAAACTTGTAAGGAGTACTACTGTGTGTGTGTGCGCGTGTGTGTGTGTGTGTGCGCTCAGAGTCTTCTTTTCTTGGCAGTGAATGTAAACGTGCTGGGTGCTGGAATCAATCCACTGCCAACAACCTAACACAATAAATCAAAACAGGTGTTTCAATCTGTTGACTGCTGTAACATGAAGGCCAGACGGCTGCCAGGCCATTCCTTTCCTCTTCAGTCTCCACATTAAAAAACAGACTGGGATGAAGTTTGAAGGATTTCAAAGAAAATATCTTACATAGCAAACACACAAACACACTTGTCAGAGGTTAAAACTAGCGCGAAGAAATGCAAAAAAAAAAAAAAAAAAAGGACAGAACTGAGGAACTACTAACAAAATATGAGGGCGTGAATCTGTGCAGCAGAATCTGCTTGTATTTTTGTGGTTATTCCACAGCAATGATATGACTCATATGAGTTTAAGACCCAAAAAGCAACTCTATTTTCATTGTGGACAGGGACACAGGAATAAAAGGCCACCAGTGTCGGCCATCCAGATTTTTCCTAGTGGGATGATCATGGTTTTGAACTGCGGTCATCCAGCTGCGTTTTTTTGGGAATTTACTTTTTTGTGTCGGATGAATAAGCATGACACAAACTTTTATATGGATCATATGGGTGGTGTACAGTAGAATACCCACAGTGACTCTCATGCTCGCTGAGATTTTGTGCAAAAACAGTGACTTCCAAATGGATTCCTTGGTTACACACGCAACTGCAGCAGGAACTGAGGCGATGAACGGTGAAAGTTTTGATTGTAACCTATGACAACGACAAGTGAAACATCGGAGGCGGCGACAGTCGTCATTCTTCCTGCCTTTAGGCTAATGTGACATCAGGTTAATAGACTGTGTATAGACATAAAGAGCTGCAACTATTGATTGAGAGAATGAAATTGTCAGGGGTATCCCACATCGAGGCAGATGAAGTACCTTACAGCAGTACTTCTCAAATGTTGGGGCAGGACCCTCTGTGGGGACGCGGTGAGGAGCCGGGGGAGCTTAGGCTAGGTTAGGTTAGGCTTTCAATATAAAGACAGAAGTGTGTGTCGCTGCTGTAATGTTTGAATAATAAACATGCCTCTAGACACTAGGTGGCAGCACCTCATACAGTGGTTTGTGCAGATGAGAAGAGGGGCCAACGTTGTACTGTTACTGTGGTTTTTGGATCAGTTACACTTGCACTGATATTCAAATGGGTTTAATGACAATTGTAAGAAGAGTGTCTACTATTGTCTGTCCCAGAACTAATTATTATTGCATTGTTTGGGAAGTCTGTATCAAACAATTTGCTCTTGGTCTTACCGAGTGCCTTTGAAGTAGCTCTCAGTTTCAAAAAGGTTGGTGACCCCTGGTGTAAACCCGTGATGGACTGAGCAGTAGAGAATGAATCAGTCAGGACTGAGAAATTCACATGACACTAACCAGCAATTATCTTTAACTAGAGTCTACTGGTGAAGGTGGTTGCACGTCAACCACATCTAACTAACCCGTGCCAATGAACTGACGTGCCAGCTAGCAACCACAGTCTCACTCTAGTCGTTCTTTGTTGAGTGGATTTTGCCAGCACCTGTCAGCACCTGATGCTGATTAGCATTGATGAGACCAATTATGTTGTGGTTTCCATGCTCACTGCACCTGTACACTTAAACTTTTGCCCCTGTCAAGTCAGCCAGTTTAGGGAACTCCAAATTCACAGTTCACAGCTGTCGTCGTGGAACGTAGGTGATCACAGCTCAGTCCTGCGCAGGTATTTACAAGTCATTTTCCCACAGTGGTTGATGTGAAACTCAACAAGGACTTTCGTCAAAATGTGAACCAAACTGTAATAATTTCAATGTCTTTCATGCCTTCAAAAGCCCCTATTATCCTGTACAGTTTTTACTTTTTCCTTCTGGTTAGACTCTCTCTCTCTCTCTCTCTCTCTCTCTGTGTGTGTGTGTAATCTGGACTGAATCCAACTGATGAAAGCTACAGAAAACCATTGTGAGCACTAATTTGACTTTAAATAGCCAAACCTGTCAGAGTGTTGAGAGCTGTAGTCAACCGTTCAGCTGTGGCTTCACGCTGTTGGGAATGGTGAATATTTTGCAATTCATCATTTTGACAAAGACATATTTGGTTCCTCACTCCTACCCCCCACTCTATGCAGTCTATATATATATATATATATAACCTGGCCCTCCACTTATCCACAACACTTCGTTTTGAGATACTTTCTGCAAATATTAAAGGATAACGAGGGAAGCTTTTCTGAGGCATCCTTCCATTATCTAGAATAAGTATAATAATAACGTCCCCCCGACCCTCTCTATCTCTCCCTCATACTCTCTCATTCCTGCCTTCTACCATCCATCTCTGGTCTGATAGCAGCTTGTGCTTGTAAGAGTTATAGTACCCAACCCATAATGTACTCCAGACGGCATGACTTCCTAATGACTGGTTGCGCTCCCAGGCTTTCCGGGCACGGCTGTGGCCGCGAGCCTCACACAAACACACAGCCGTACAAACATCACATGGTGACCAGTCAAAAGCACTACCTTATGTGTCTGTTTTTATATTGTTGTTTTCCCGTCTCCGGCTACCTGTTCCCCGTTGGAACAATTACACCGTATCACCCGCAAACTGCCATCTGGCTTCGACCCCTTTTTATATGCATTATTAAAATGACTTGGACGGCCCCGGCAGAAAGCTGACATTTAGTGACTGTGTGCGTGAACCTCAGGCGGAATGTGCAGCGTGTACCCAACGCAGAGGAAAAATGAATACCAGCGTCTGTCTTTGAAACACTCTATGGTCTCTAAAAGAACAGACAATTCCCCGGAAGGACCTGGTCCTCATTAAGGTCATGTTCTTATTCTACCTTTTACTTAAAGTGTTTTTTTCAGGCTACAGGAAATAAGACTTCATAAAAAATGAACCCTGCTCCTCTATTCATGACTGGAAAAGCAGCACAAGCTCATTGTTTGACTTCTTTAGAAAGCCTTAAAGGCCCACATGTGCCAGGATTCTGTCCGTCGCCATGGCAACAAGTCTATTTCCCTTATGCGATTATTTAGGGGCAGTGGTGGCTTGGTGATTGAGGAAGTGGACTTGGGTCTGGAAGGTTTAAGGTTCGAGTGCACCAGCTGCCAAGTTACCACTGAGGGGCATCGTCCCCACACCCCTTGGCGCTTAAGCTGCCCCCTGCTGACTTTGGTGATAAGTAAAATGCAGAAGTCACATTTTGTGGTGTGCTGTGTTACAATAACAAGTAGTTCATGTGGTGTGCTGTGTTACAATAACAAGTTCACTTCCTTCCTTCCCTTCCTTAGCTCCTCTGTTAATTCAAACCCTGTTTTCAGCCCCAAAACTCCTATTTCACCTAAAAGTAGAGGCAGGGGCAACAACAGAAAATATCCTACATGTATCTTGTTACAGTATCTGTCAGTAAGCAGGTTAGCTCGTCACAGGTTTTGGTACGATTGCGTCTTCACCAGCATCAAATGAAAGTCATGTCTGGACTTGACTGGACCTCAGTGTTTCTCTGACTGGTCTGCCTGCAGTCCAGATCTGGCCTCTGTTAAAATAGATGATGAAGAAGAGGAATGAAATCCAAGTTCCAGCTCAGGTCAGAAAATCCAAAAAAGCTGAAATAATTAGTTCCACGATGACATGATCCTTTGTCCAAACAGAGCAAGAGTTTGGAGTGTGTTGTAGGTTTCAATTTCTAAATTAGGTTGTGTTTAACTTTTTAAACATTTACTTTTTTAATTAACAACAAACTTTTTACTCTTACTTTTTTTTACATTGTAGGTTGCTTACCACCTTGAAGAATACCAGAGGCCAATGTGTTACAGTATTTCATACAGTACATCATCATAAGTTAATAATCAGAGCCAGATACAGGAATGAAAGAAATAGATTGGATTAAAGTCATTGTTGCTAAACTCCTACATACCAGCACTAATCCAGGAAATGAAATCTAATCATTTCAGCAACCATCAAAAGTTCTGGTCCTCAGGTGGAGCCTGGAGTCATTCAACTCAACTTAAAAAAAAGAAAGAAAATGTAACAAATTCCTGTTGCCTGATTTGGTTTAAATACTTAGTGAGCAACGTTTTTGTTTTGTTTTTTTCCACACAGGGAGGGGAAATAATGGTTGAGGTGAGGTGCATAATAAGCATTGACTTACACAGCCAGGCTCTCCCCCAGGGCTCATAGCTGTAGGCTTTAACTGCCACATGTTAATGATCTCACTCTTCAATGCCCAGGCGTCTACAGCCAAATGTATACACTTGTGTATGTTCATGCCAAGAACAACAACAAGCCTCCTGACAATCACCCACAACGGAGACGTGTCATAGTTTATTCATGCCTAAAACATCGATCTGGGGGAAAACGTTGGCTTGTTTTCCTTCTAAACTGGTTCGGATGTGCAAACAGACACTGATGCAGCAGGACAGCAAGAACGCTGCTCTGATATTTGAAAATCTCAGCAGCGTTTGCAAACGCCAGACCGCATATGAGATGACAGTAATAGCCTCAGTCTGTTTCTGCTAACACGTTCTTTCTGTTTCCATTATTCTAGTCTGTTTCCCCGACCACCACCACCACCACCACCACCACCCCAACTTCATCTCCAGGTGTCTTGGACCCTTCAGCAGACCTTGGTTCTGGAAACAAGCAAATCATCACTCACTTCAAATGCTGTACGTACTGTAAGTGATGCTTATTGACCTCTTGATACACAAACTCCCTTTGACCTAAAGAAGCAGGATGTTTCCCCGTCTGCAGGCCAACACAAAAGACACAATTTGGTGTGCACACAACAGATGCGAACACAAAGAGGCGCTTGTGCTATTGCTTCCGGCCACCAGAGGGTGCAGACAATATGCCCCCATCTACCCCTGGCTTCAGCCTTGAATTCCTTCAGGGGACTAAAGAAAGAGCCTCCGGTGGTAAGATGGACAAAATGACACAACTAGCCAAGAATGAACTGTGTGGACACACACACACACACACGCACGTTATCCACAGTTGTCCACAGATATGACTACATGCTGTATATCTGTTTGAAGATGCTCTGGAAGATACAGGTCCCTTTAGAGCAGCTCTTCCTGTTTTTGCTCCTCTATCCCTCGCACAGTCACAGACGACACTAAACTTTCACAATGGAGATGCAGGAAAACATCATTTCCAGTCACAAACCCACAACGTTGTAATCTGTATAGAGTGAGCGTGACCTCAAAAAACAAGAACAAATAATATGCAACATTAGTCGGACCATTATGTGACGCAGAAGTACTTTGAAAATAAAAAACAGAAAAGAGCTTGTTACAGATTTCTTTTAAAAAAAAATTAGCTTCTGTTAGCCATTGGAGACTTTTTTGTCCCTAAGGACAGACATTGACAGCTCTGGAAGAACCTGAGCTACACAAAGAGTCAACACTGGTTTTCAAACCTTTTTCAGTGCCCACTTTTGTAGATAGAATGATTATGGAACTCTCCGCCTCAAGACATTCAAAACCATTGTCTTAAAACACTGCAATTCCTAAAAAATACCACTGTCACTGGACATTGGAAATACATTACAAATCAGTTTACTTTTCCCACAGTGACGCATATAAAGCACATTTTGAAACATCTTTGCCCTGTTTCAGCTCCACGCCCCTTATGGGTGGCAGCTGATAATGACTTATCGCAGCTTTAACCTTCGTCGCGTGATTTTTGCAATAAGGATCAAGTCATACCAGTAAGAGACGGATGAATATTTGCCTACTTCTATATTCCTGTTAGCAGTCAGACCACATCTCTCTGCTCAGCGCTTCTTAACATTGCACCCCGCTCCAGTCGACTGTTGTCGACTACCCAGTGTTTTTTCTTCCTGCGCTCGTGATATCGGAGCAAAGCTACGATCAACATTGTTGCGTCAGAAATAGTTTCCAGGGATAAAACCTCCCGTCTGTGTCTGAGCTGCAGGTTCAGGTTGTACTGATGTTTAAACAGGTACATGTGGAGATGATTTTCAGCAGCTTTTTATTTTCCAAACCAGACCCCCACGCAGGTATCTTTCGTTCTTTAACGAGACCCAGTGAGCGTCTTTTAAAAACTATCTGGCAAGTGACTGTTGGGACTCAGCGTCCCAGGCCTTAGGTTTCAGAGGCCGTAATGTTTTAAAAGCAGCTCATCTTGTAGCGTTTGACATAATGTGCATTCGATTTTGTTTCCTCTGTTCAGCACAGGGGGCCCTGGGTGGAGGTGCGTCCTCTTTTGTGTCGTGGCCAACAGCTGGCTCTTAAAAGCAGGTTGAATGATAGATGTAAGTCATGTTCATGATGTAAATACCTCGCAGGAGAAAGGGACGGAGTCGTCCTCCGTAAGTAAGTTGTGGAACTGGCGGGTTCTTTTGATTTGCCTT